GCAATCTGTTCAGCAGCGAAGACGATGCCACGGTCGATTCACTTCTCAACGGTGAACTGAAGGTCCCCCTTCCTGTCTACTTCACAGTCGGCACAGCGCCCCTTCCCCCAAAGATCGTTGCCAAGATCGAAGCCGACGAGGAAATCTGCGAGAACCTCCACTTCCTCGGAAAGCGAAGTATCACGAAGACGTCAGAGGGAGTCAGAATTGTCGCACTCGGTGGAAAACTCGACAAAGATGTGGTCGGAGGGCAATCGAAGGAGCAGCACCTTCCGTTCCACACAGCGGACGATGCGAAGTCGCTGAAAGGCGCAAATAAAGCCGACATCCTACTTACGACCGTTTGGCCAGCTAGTGTCTGGACAGGGTCCAAGGTCGCGCTTACCCCGGAGAACCAGGCAGCGATTGTGAGCACGGCTGAAGTTGCTGAGCTGTGTGCGACCCTGAAGCCGCGATACCACTTCTCGTCTTCGCCCACCGAGTTCTTCTACGAGCGTGAGCCTTTCGTGCACCCTCTGGAGGAAGGCGCAGAGGGTGCGGCTGTCACTCGCTTCATATCGATGGCTCCCTATGGAAACGCGGTCAAGGCGAAGGCGCTATATGCATTCACAATCACCCTCAACGAGACCAACGTCGAGAAACCCGCCAACTCTACCTTCACGCCGTTCAGCCAGAGAAAGCCAAAGAGGCGGGCGCAGGATGAGGGCTCCTACAGCCGCTTCGCCAACGGAGACGACGATGGCCGCCATCACCGCCGCGGAAACAAGCGCCGACGTCAGTCGCCTCCTCCCGGGCCGGACCGATGCTTCTTCTGCTTGAGCAACCCCAACCTCGATACCCACATGGTTTGCACCATTGGCGAAGACAGCTATCTTGCTACTGCCAAGGGCCCTCTAGCCACATCCCAGACCTTTGAGGAGCACGGTATCAACTTCCCTGGCCACGTCATTATCACGCCTCTCGCGCATACACCGACCGTCCACTCCTCTGGTGTCGAGAGCTATACCCCTGAGGAGGCGGAGAAGACCCACAAGGAGATGACCCGTTTCCGCGAGGCTCTCCAGGCCATGGTATCGACCAAGTCGAACCGCAAGCTGGGTGCCATCACCTGGGAAATCAGCCGCGGTCGCAACATTCACGCTCACTGGCAGTTCCACCCTATTCCGGCGGACTTTGTCTACAAGGGTCTTGCCGAGGCCGGTTTCCGCGTTGAGGCCGAGAACCTCAAGTATCCCGAGTTTGAGAGCCGCGAGATCTTGTACGAGGACCAGGCCGACTTTGGCGACTACTTCCGCATCTGGATCTGGGCAGACGACGGCGAAGACAGAATTAAGGGTTCTAGTCTCGTGATGAAGCTCGATCCCAACATGCGCTTCGATCTGCAGTATCCGCGTAAGGTTGTGGCGAAGCTCCTCGGTCTCGAGAAGCGTTTCGTCTGGCAGGATTGCACGCAGACCAAGGAGGAAGAGGAGAAGGACGTGGCAGCCCTCCGCGAGGCCTTCAAGGAATGGGATTTTGCGCTTCAGTGAGGCGCGCGGCACATCTAGCGGCGATATCGAGGGCGTTTGATAAGTTTGAGCATGATTCCATCGTTTTTCTGGCATGGCATTTGGCATGGGTGGCGTTTGGGGGGATACCCAGGTAACCTGCATATTTTTGCCATATAAGCAGGCCGGTAGTGGGGAGAGATTATCATTTGGCTTTTCAAAGTTGCTTCTTTCACGAGCGGAGGCATATCACAAGGAGCAGATCTATCCATGGCTTCTCTCGAACCGGGGATATTGGGCAAAGCCGCGTTGCTTCATCGGTCAGGAGCTACACTGAACCTTCATAGACAGGCGAGTTAGGCCTCTAAAAGCTTTTCTGAATCGTTTTCATCATTCTTGATCTCTGGTCAAATCTCATCTCTGCTCATTTCGCCAAGGCATGTGGTTCGAGTCGTGGATCCCATCACGGGTTCCCATCACGGATCCCAATTTCATTGAAATCATCTCTCGAATTCGAGATGAAGCCAACGATGTAACGATGCAACATAGCAACCGTAGTGCCTTATTAGAAACCCCCACATCAACAGCTTTTCCCATCATGAGAAAGAACAAAACATACGCAAGCACGGCAAAGGCGCTCTCGACACCCAAATAAGCTTCTCCCTTGCTTGCCGCCACAAATGGACCCCTGTTTTCTCTACAGACTACCTACCTTGGGCAAAACTATCCATACCTACAAAGTGCCAGAGCCTCTTCGGGACATACCCGTAAGGGAGACTGAGACCGAGACCTTTTGACTCCGGGCCCGTCTCCTCTCACCGTTTACCACTTTTCCCCATTCTCGAGACTCTAACCTCGGACGGGATAAGATTCAAGACAACAGTGACTATCCAACTGAGATGGCCAAGGCCATTTTGCTTCTCCCGAAATGCAAAGAATGGCCATGTCAGTGGCAAATCACCTTTATACGCGAAACTACATCACAAAGTTCACACACTAGACTTTCCAGAATCCACAGCAAGAGCAGTGGCAACAGCACCTAGTCTCCAAGCTATACCTCTCAAAAGGTTCATTCAAAACAAACAAAAAAGACTCAGTTGAGATGTGATTACCGGCAATTTGAGAGATGACAATAGAAAGCTGAACCACAACCATTGACATTCTCTCGCCGTATCCCCCAACGACGCTTACCTACCTACTTCAACTACCCACCTCAAATTTGGTGATTACGGCATCTCCCACCTCTGAGACAAGTCTCACCCCAAGGAAGAATGTACACCACAACGGAAGTGGCTGAACTCTCTCTGACGAAATTCGGCTCACCTGGCTCGCTTGGATCGTCTATCCTAAAAGAGAGAGAAGAACAAGCCACTGACGAACCACCACATCACGCAAGGGAGAGAGAGCGCGCGGCTCAAAACAAGCCATAAAAGTAAACCCGCGAACCCCCCAAAGAACCAAAACAAACAGCCCAGCGTGTCCGGACCGAAACGTCTTTCTTCTTTCCGTCCTTCTTGAACCCTTCGGTGAGCTTTCCTATTCGGGAAGCACAAATGGAAACCTTGGCGCTCTGGCGGCTCTCAGGTTCAGTCGGTGGTGTGAGATGATCTGGTCTGTCTTTTTGGGCTGCTTCTCACCTAGCACGTGTCCTACCTTACCTTAGCAAGGTAGATATTCTCTCCCCCAACGCCGAGTCCGTAGAACAAACAAGAGGGACAAAGAGAACAGCACTGAAAACGCACCAAAAAAGCTGTTGAGCGGCTGGCTTGTAAAGTTCTCTAGAGCCTACCTAGTCTACCTTGTCCCCATATGGCTTCGAACAATAGTACCACAACGACTTACCTTAGTACCAAGCAAACGTGGTCTGCCCGCCCTCTAAAGTTGGACTTCTTGCCGGTGCTCCAGTCGTTGAACGGGGACGCTATTCTCGTTTATACCATAGCTCCATTCCCATCAATCTCAAAGAACAAGGGAAACTCGTCTTCTGCAACTCTGAGTCGTGCGCACCAACTCTTGACCATGACACGACACAATCACAAAAGCCTGACCGGAAACGGCAACACACCGCGTGGTCATTTGAGTTGAATATCTCAGCAATGGAGTCTGTTCATCTCTTTGAATTCCCACGCAGCGAACATCACAATAGAGAAGGGAAACAAAAGGTCCGTTTCCTTTAGCTCCGGACTCGGTCTAGTGACTATCCCCTCTCCTCTCCTGTGATTGAAATCTGCCCAAGAATTCTCCAAAAGGGGAACCCTTTGCTTCCATTCTTGGCAAAGAAACAATCGTGTCAAGGAATTGGAATCTGGCATACCTCCTCAGCAGTCAAAGAAAGCACCGTTAGACCTGTATCACCCCCTCGCTCGCGTGCTTACGCCAACCCTTCCCTACTACCCCCAAAGAAAAGCCCCATCTTGACATTCTTATCCAAAATAAGCAACAGACGTTTAGGCTGATGGGGACATTGAGGCCGGCGGGAGAGTACGAAGTAGGAGGGGGAAGGAAGAGAACAAAGCCAACGTTCCGACCTTCCACGCTAGAACACTCGGCAGAACAACCCAAACATCTCGCCCTTCAGCCCCCCCCTTACCTATCCCACCTAACCTCACGACACGGAAAGACAAGCAAAGTCACGGTCCAAAACAGCCCAAAGACCAAAGACTCTAACAATAGACCCCCTAAAGACCCAAACGCCAACGTAAAGAACAACACAAGAGAGAGATCCTAGCGCGGAGGCTACGTATGGACTAAGGAGTAAACTCCGACCCTAGCTTCGGGACATGGAAAAGGGAGGGGGGACCGAGCAACAAAGCATCATGGCTCTCTCTCACACTTGCATCATAACCCAACCCACGAAGCCCCAGTTCCTTCATCACGCAATCATTCCAATGGACATTGCTCGGTGAGGAAAGGAAAGGAAGGCAAGGGGACGGAGGGTAGTAGGTAGAACCCAACTGATACCACCGTCATCTGCCACCTGCCAAATCTCCCTACCATCTAGAGCCTAGACATGGGTAAAAAGGACCACGATGTCACAGAACCCTCTCGCTTCGGGGCCAAAAAAGAAGACCAGTCAAAGCTGACATCGAATCGTGAAACTCAAGTACTCCATACAGGCCTGGCGAGTCACGGTAGCTTCCCTGCACAGTAGACAATAGGGAACGGATAAGAGCCTCAATACGAAGTCTAAAAAGAAACATCCGTGGGGGACGGGCCCCCCAGGTTTCGAAACACTATCCACAGTTCGGGACGAACCAGAACAGCAAAAAAAAACCTCGGACCTCAAAAGTTTCGCACAGACGATCCAGCCATCAGCCGGTGCGATCTCAACGGCTTGAGGTGTTCATCGGGAATGGCTCAGACAAACGCGCTCGCGCACAACTTGTAGACAAGCACGCGCTCGCGCGCGCGCGCATACCATCACAGCCGCGCCTTGAGCACGTGTCCCACGAGTCCAAGCAAGAATGAGCGTGTTTTTTTTTTTGTTTGTGTGTATTTTCATTCAATTGTTATGAGCTAGCCCACAATGATCCGACCATGGATCATTGGTGTTTGGTTGGCAATTTTTGTCTTTGCATCGCCAGTACTGTACAGAAAGAGGCAATGGATTCACCCATGCCGTTATTGCACCAATCCAGCTTCCAAGCTTGCAGTGCTATCTCCCCCATTGGCCAATGTTACAAGGCATTCCCAAGCAACTGCTTTTCATCCACTGTACTAGCTTCTCCGCTCTTTGCATGCGTTCTTTCGCAGCTACTCCTACAATATACACAAGGAGGTGGAGTCCTCCATAAAGCTCAACCATCGGAAGAAAAAAAAGGTCCGTGGGGCTTCTGTTTTGAAAAAATGTAAAGGGAATGGGGTGTCGAGAGGTCTGTGAGTGCCATCCGATGACAAGGATGTCGGGTATCCGGCGTTTGGATAGAAAGGTGTGTGGTATCAGGTGAAGATGGTCAATGGACCGAGTTGAGCACAAAGGAAAAAGGGTCCGCCGAGGGAGGAATGGTCCGAGAAATAATGCTCCGAAAATATGTGGAGATTCCGACAGAAGAGCAGACAGACCGAGACGTCATACTGAAATGCTCCCGCGTCCGAAATCTGTGGAGACAGACAAGCGGTGGTGATGTTGTCGTTGTCGTTTGTTTGTTGGTATAGGTGTGTGTTTGGTTGAGGACCATCCTCCTCGGCGGGATGCAGAAGTCTTTGACAAAGGAAAAAGAAACAAAAAAAAAACCGAGGACAATGCTGTAAAAATGCCGACAGGGAGCCACCCCAAGATGCCAGATCCAAAGTGGACTCCGTACAACCATATCGAGGCGATGCGGGGACAAATATGCCAAATGCGTCTAATGCCGGGTTGTTGGTTTTGTTGTATGTTCAAGTTGCAGAACGAGGCTCATAACGAAGTTCTATTAGCGTAACAATTGAAGTCATCGCGGCCGTGAGCGTTGCGTTAGCTGCTGTGTAGTCCGGATTGGTAAGGGTGGAAATATAGGCAGTCGAATCGAATAGGGGTTTGTTGAACATGTGCAGGAAGAGACGCGAAAAACATCGACAATCAGGCTGCTGTGGTTCGCCCTATTAGGGATGTCGAGCAAATAGTCGACAAAACAATGGACAGCTTCGAAGTCTGCGGAGACCTCGAATTCCCCCCCTTGCCAAGCAAGGAGATCTCACCCCTCCACAATGTGCAGCAGACAGTGGGTGTGTGTGAGAGGGGCGCAAAAAGATGTATGTGCTAGTAAGACGCCATGCGTCGTGCATGGCATCGTTCGCCGAGGATTGGAGAGTTGCCAATCATGGCGATGGGATCTTGTCGGAAGCTGATGCTGGGTCTGAGGCCACTGGGGCGCGCGGGAGCTGTGGGTGATTGGTCCACGCAGGAGTCGCGCGAGCCAAAGGCGAACGTTTGCGCTCTGCCGAAGCCCTTGCGAGGGTTCTTGAGGCGGCCAAGTTCGCGTTCGCAGGTGCGCTGGTGAGCCTCATCCGACATTTCCACATAGTTTTGGGGATAGCAACGGCAAGGGTGCTCGGCGTAGAAGCCGCTGTATCCTCCTTCAAGAATATACACGTCAGGGTATGTGAGTCGCGGGTAGTGCTCGGCGTTGACAGTCCTGTCCTCGGAGCGGATATGGCGAGCCATCATGGGGGCGCGGTGCGCCGAGTATTCGCAGTGGAAGATGAGAATTGTTCTTCCTTGCATGGGGTGTTGGATCAGCTGGGAGGCGAGTAGGTCCTTGCTGTTGTAGTTGACAGCTCCGTCAATGTGTCCTCCGTCGTACTCGTACTCGAACCGGCAGTCAATGATCATCTTCTGGTCGAACTTGTCACTGTACTTTCCGTCCAAGAGATCAATCATGGTGGCCTTTGTGATCCGGGGAATGGTGTCCGTGGGGTCATCGGCGAGGAAGTGAGGCAGGATGGGCTCCTGGACATCATCGGCATCCATGCTGGAAACAGACTCTGGGGTGGTGGGCGAGGAGTCGCCGCCTTCTGACTTTGCCTTGGCAACATCGCCAGGGTGCTCAAACATGCTCAAAGAGCGGCGGAACTGCTTGCGGGGACGCATAAAGGGATTTGAAGGGCGACGGCTGTGACCGTTGCCAAAAGGGCTGTTGCGGTTACCAGAGAGGCTGGAGAATTGAGGACGAGGACGAACGGCACCAGGCACGGCAGGAGTAGGGCTATTCGCAGTCTGAGGTCGTCGTTCTTGAGGAGGTGATGTAGCATCGAAGCATTCTCCCAGGGACATGGCGCTGTTCATATGCGTCAAGCGATTCTCACCAAATCGGAAAGTGGGGAGTTGGGTGTCTGTGTTGGAACGGCCGGGAACGCCACTAGTCGAGTAGCCTTTCATCCGAGTCAAGGAAGGCCGGCGCAAAGCTGGCTTTCTCCGTCTGCCCCCTGAGTTAGACGCGACCCCTTGAGCTAGGAGGAATGTGGCAATCAAACTTACTCGGCTACCAGTGGCTTGGGTGGCTCCAACGACGCCTGCCGAGGAATGGGGGCTGGCGAATCCAACATCATCTCGTCGTCCTCGCCGGTTGGGGTTGATCCCGGGGTCGGTGACGTTATCGCGATCTGGGTCATGAACGGGAGCTTGTGCGGCAACGGCGAGACATCCATCAAATCGTGGGCAGGTGACGATTCGGGCAGAGGAGGCGTAGTCACGTATTCTGGTCTCACATCAGCTTCCTAGCCCCTTTTCCTCTCATTTGTGCTTGCAACCCATAGAAGAACGTACCGTAGGAATCCGCGTCACCCATCATGTTTGATGTGAACAAGGCACGACGAGGTGTGGGGAACTTGGGACTAGACAGAACGTTGTTAGTCGACGGTATTCCAGACTGAATTTATTGGATGCACGTCATCGTACCTCGCCTCGGTATCCAGACGGAAGTTTTGCGAGAGGTCGGCGGCCAAGCTAGCAGCGGGCGAGGAACCGTGAACGTCCTTGACGTTGAAGTAGTTGTCGGGCCTGTGAAGGTGTTCGCGCAGACTGATGGGTACGGCACCAGCGAAGGTGTTTGGGCGAGGGCGGAAAAGATCCTTATTTCCCCAAGAAGGAACTGCCATGGGACGGTGCATAGCCGCCAATGGTGATGAAGCCTCCATGATTGTGGTGTGTGGTTGTGGGGATCCGATCGTGGGAAACGAAAGTATTTATTGCGGGTGGTGATGGGTGTTAGTGGTGTATCTTTTTTGTTTGGTGTGAGTGCTGCGTCCAAGACGATACTCGATATGTCGTGACGAAGAAAGAGGGACGATCGTTAAGAAGAGGCCGCAATAAACGAATGTTGCAGCAAATCCTAAGATGAATTTCTGTTTTAGTCGTTTCCACTCAATGGAGAGGGAACAGGACGTCGCGACGAGTATGAATCGGGAGGCGGCGGTGATGCAAGCTGGAGGGAGAGAATCTTCTTCGATCTCGAATCGAGCGTCGATGTTGGCTTGGTGGGATTTCGCGGCGGCGGGGGTTTTTCGGAAGGGTGCGTGCAGAAATGCAGCTGGGATCGAAAAAAATACTGGCCGTTCGTTATTGCGTCGGTGCAAGTAACATTGGAATACCCGAGGGATGAAATAAATTCCGCCCTATTTCTCCTTGATTCATGAAACGTATTTTTCTTCCTCCCAGAGAATATCGGTCGAGGTCGAAGTCGATATCGAAGCCGAGATCGAGGTCGTTGGCGGCGTCTCTAACTGGGGGAGAGAGAGAGAGGCGAAAGAGGCCGGCGGTCCACGATGGGGGCCTTGGGTGGTGCAAGGGGGACAAAGGCGGGCGGATAATCGGAGGTGGGAGGGAGGCGCCTTTTGCATGCAACTTCCTTCTCGAACAAAAGAGTAGAGAAAGAGCGCACCGAAAAGACTGGCCGAATCCTTGGTGCCGGAGCAGGAGCAAAGGCAATGCGGATGCGGTGCGGGAGCTGCAGTGCGGCGTCGGTGTTGAAGGTGCGTTTCGGAGGCTACGACCCTTTTTTAGTTCTTTGCTCGAGCTACGCTTTTTCGGTGGCCGAGCAGGAAGGGGATGCTGCTGCAGTAGCAAAGATGCAAGTGAGAGAGAGAGACTGGTTTTGCTGGTTGGTACTGAGTAGCGACACAGAGAGAGAGAAAAGATCCGAGTGTACAGCAGTAGCACCGGACAAGCAATGACAAGAGAAACGAGTGCAATGCCTTTGGGTTATCTAGTGCCGGCGCAGGGACGGGGAAGAAAAAACGTCAAGCGGTTTCTCCCAAGCGTCTAGCCTTCTTTTTCTTTGGTTTCCTCTTTTCTTGTGCTTCTCTTGTTTCCTCTTTCGGCTTCGTTCTCGTCCGTCTGGCTCTTCTTTTTCTTCTTGTTCTTCCTGATTACCCACAATGCCCAACGGGGGAAAAGCAGGAACAGATGCAGAAAAGAGCAAGCAAACGAGGAAGACGAAAATTAAGAAAAAAGAGTCGTGAGTTGAGTTTTTGCTGGTTGAGTGTGTGGACTGGCCAACAGAATGGCCGGCGTCGAGTTGCGATAGTGGTCGTCGACGACACTTATGCGATACGATGGGAGGACGATTATAGTGTGGTAGTCCGTGGGCGTGAGATGTTGCTGGTGGTGGTGGTGGTGGTGGTGGTGTGTAGTAGGATTTGGGTGCACGTTGAGTACGATAAGTTGTAGAGAATGGCTGGACCTGGAGACCTGGGCACCTAGGGATGATTCCTGAACTGAACCTCTCTGATGGACCTAAGAATAAAGGTATCCGTAACTCTCTAAACTTACCGTACCGTCGGACCGTTGATGATTATGGTCGGGGATGAGGGGGGAAAGAAGAGAGAGAGGGAGGGAAGAGGTCGGAAGAAAGAGGAGACTAGAGGTTTTTGAATGAAGGTGTGGTGTGTGTGTGTGGTTGACTGGTCGTGGTGAGCAAAGTATGGATATGGATATGGATATGGATATGGGATGGGAACTGGGTGTGTGTCTTGTCTTCCTCGCTCTCTGTCACTCTCTCTGGAACCATGGACCATGGATCAAGGTGTGTAGTGTATGGATGGTGTGTGGTGTGTGTGGTGTGCGTGAGAGGTGTGGTGTGCAGCAACCATGAGGTGTGTGTGACGGGATTGGGACAGGATGGGATGGGATACCTGGGATGGGGATGGGGATGGGGATGGGGGATGGGACAAGGACAGGATGGGACAAGAAGCAGCAACCAAGCAACCAGAAGCAGGAACCAGGCCTCTCTGGGAGTCAGGATAGGATGGGATGGGATGGGATGGAAGCGCACACAGCAACGGTGCTATGTACCACCACTACCACCAGTCTACCACTGCTACTTTGCGTAGCCGACTAGGAAGACCGTAGGTATTAGCGACCAGACAGACAGCCGCCAGACGACGACGACGACGACAACGGGAGCGAGCAAAGTGAGAGAGAGAGGGTGTGTGGATGGAAACCTGAACCAGGTCCAGGAAGGCAACTCGACGGGGTGGATTGAGACTTGACCGGGATGGGGGATGTCACTGTCAGTTGTTGCTAGCCCAGGATGGTCAAGATGGATGGGAACTTGGGAAGACTGGAGCTGGACGAGCTGGAACAGGAACCACCAGGAACGAGACAGGAACGGGTACAAGATGACATGCCGGGACTAAGCATTCAGACCAGCAACGACAATGTACAATATCTAGTTAGGTACAGCAACAGAGACAAGACATCATACGCACAGCATAGCAGTCACGCACTGCACACTGCAGCCGCCGACGATATCCCTCCACTCTTTCTGCTCCTCCTACGCAACCTCAACCTCAGTACAATGTACTTTATACAGACAACAATTCTACACTTTGTATTGTCTCCGTGGCTCGCCTCGCCTCGTCTCGCTTCTTGCCTTGCCTTCCTTTCCCTGCTCTAGGTACGGAGCATCTGGCCTTACGACATTGGATGCCATGTCTGATGCTGGACTTTCTCTCTGAGCAACCAGCTCCAGAGCCAGGTACAAACCCCAGCCATGGCCCATCAGCTCCAGAACCAAACACTAGAACAGGGAAGCGCCAAACGGGGGGGACCAGCCCAGACTACGGATACCTTACGTAGTACGTAGTCCTGCGTAGTGAAGCCAAGGTGCGGATAAGGTAGAGAGAAACGACCAAGGGGGCGGTACATGGCTGTCTGTACGTACCGTCACACTCTCTCTGTGTGCTGCAACAAGTACGTATCTGACAACCAGTACGTACCCTTCTTCGCGATGGGACATCCCCCCTTCGCCGTGGAGCCTCCTTGGTGATCTTCCTCTCTCTCTCTCTGCGCGTAACTTCTGGTGCGATGCCCACCCTACCGCGACTTGAAAGTCAACTTTGAACTTGGTTGTCAGGGGAGATTTGGTTGCTGCTGCAGCTACTGCAGGACTTGCAGCTGCATCAGAGCTTCTGGGTGGACGGCGACGACAGGGAGTGTGTATGCACCAGATGGAGATGGAGATGCAGATGCAGACAAAAAAGATGCAGATGAACGGGGCCCATGTGTCTCTGCCTTGCCTTGCCTCCAGACTCTGTGGCTCTCTTGCTTGCTTTCCGCCGTTTGCCAGTTGCAGCAATCTGGGCTTGAACCTTTTCCCTCTCAGTCTCCGAGGTGGTGTCTGGTGTCTGTGTGGTGTATGTCTCTCGCTCTATCTCGACTTGTCTCTGAACTGTCACTGGAGTAAATGATACTGCAGCCAACTTGCATCGATGCTGCTGCACAAGGTACACTAACTCACCTTCACTCACTGCCATTGGACGTAAGCAACATGGCATGGCCCTGTCGGTCTCTCGTCTGCGGTCCTTCTCTGGGACTTTGCTGGCCATTTACACAGGGCCATTCCTGGTAATACATCCGCACCTTATTCTAGCGTGCCTTTTTTTTCAGTCTTTTCCTCGTACTCTTTCCCCCCCACTTTGCACGTTGCCAAGGCACAATGTGTGTGTGTGTGGTCATTGAGCTGAGAATATCTTGCTTTCTCTCCCGTTGCCCTGCGTTGCCTGGTTCTCTTCTTCGGCTGAACCATCGATCGATTGTCAGTCTTCCAGAATAAAAACAAATGGTCGGACGGCAGAAGCTTCCAAGGCAGAAGCAGAGACGAGAGAACGACCCGAGCCAAAGAGCACGTGGCTCGAGGTACGTACCTGAAAAGCAGGGCAGGGCAGGGAAAAGGAAGACTTTCTCACCTAAGATTCCTTCCAGCTCGTCGGTGCCTTACCTTGCGTTAAGGTAGAAAAGCCGCGAGCGGGCATAACTAAGGTAATGCGCAACAGCAAAAAGGTTATCTGTGCTGTGCAGCAAACCAAGGAAATCGAGCAAAATCGTGCCAATCGCACCAAATTCCGTCTTGTCTTAGCCAATGCGCTTCGAGCTTTGCCCGTGTGGTGCCCTCGGATCCGATGCACAGCACAAACAGCTGGAGCCAGCACAAGCATTTTCATCCAGCAGCAAGTCATGCCCCCCAAAAGCAGGTACGAGTAATTCCTCATCTCGCCGCCATGCTGAGATTGGAGAAGACTGGTCACCAATACTCCGTACCTTACCACATCTGCGAAGAATACACACAGGTATCCGTCCCGTCCACATGTCTCTTGCAGTCCACACGCCCCCAAACCCACCCAGCATTACCGACATGAACCACGCCCGCGCCCACATTCGCCCTGTCTTCCCGCGAGGTACTTGACGCCGTACGTGACGCCGTATGAATACCAACGCTGTAATTGGGTCTCGCACCCTCCCAGCTGGGAACCCTTCAGGGGCGGAAGAACTGACATTGACTCCACGAACATCCTCCGACGACTCAGGCGCCCAACAACGCCGTTGCGGCGTACAGGGGCCCCTACTTTGGCACCAATCCCCTGGGGGAACTTTCCCCCCTTACAGGCGGTTGCCGCAACAATTGACGGATTTACAGCGGCTTCGCCTGAGTGTTCCATCCCCCCACTGATGGCCGCTGGCGGCTTGCCCTGGAGCGTCGAGTTCATGCTCTATCGGATGAGGCGTCAGGGGCATGAGGGGCTCTCTCTCCATCTTCCTATCCGCCGTGCCGCCCCAAACGTGAGCAACCCTTCACTGGGGACTGGCTTGCTCGCTGGCGTGCTGGGCTTCCCGTGTGATCGCTAGCAAGTTTTAGGGCCCGACGCAGTGTGCACGTACTCTACTCGGTACGCCGTAGCCCGTTGACTCGGTAGTATCGGTAGCGCCAAAAGGGTCAACATGTTTGATACGGAGAAGCGCGAGGCCTTTCGTGGTCTGGTCTTGGTCTTCTTCTCCAGTGATCGGAGGCGGTCTCCAGAAAGCTCGAGTTTGAAAGTGGTTCTCGTGCTCAGTCGTCACCCACCCGACCGGCCATGTTCCTGTCTGGCGTTAGATTGGAAACTCCCCGAGAAGAGATTTCGATGTTCTGTCCGCAACTTGGTCTGTGGGCAACATAGCATACCGTCCCTGAGTCCCCGAGTCCCTCAACAGTGGCCCGCGGGGTGGTCCGTGGTGTGCGGTGCAGCCGTGGACTGGAGCACCCGGAGCTGGTCGCTGGGCAGCTTTCGGAACGGGATCCAGTAAACTCGCCATCAAACCAGTGTCACGTTGGATGTTGGACCCGTCGACCCGTTGCGGACTTGCGGTTGCTGCAGCATCTTGAGGCTAAAGGTATCCGTAACCCGGACCGTAGTGATGGTCTTACATGATACGGATACCAAGCGTCGAGAAAACCCTTTCTGGCCCCCGCTGTTTCCCATGGTAGTGAGGCGGAAGAGAAGGAAAAGAACGGGTTGCCCAGTGGAAGGGTCTCGTAGCCCGGTGATCCGTCTGCAGGGAGAGGGAAAATTGAAGAGAAGAAAAAAACCGTGCAGCGGACCCGGCGCCGACCCAGATGCTACAGCCTACGGGGCCTATGAGGAAAGTGCGGAGTGACGGGAGGTGAGGTACCTTCCATGCGTATCCGTAGGTCCCTTCCTTTCCTTCTCCCACACCTCAGCCATGGAAGGAAGTCTCCAGACCTCTCCACCTTCTGTAAGTGATATTGGCAGGCACTGAGTACCTTACCTTACCTCAGGTACCTTAGTGTGGTAGTGTAATCACTCTACATAGTAGGTACCTACCTAATGATTCCTTGAGTCCTTCCTGCCTCACAATGGTCAAACCTGAGGTGTAAGGCTTTACTCTAATTTGGAAGGCACAAGGTGTTCAATGGAAGTCTTTTCCTTCTACTTCCATTCAATTATTAGCCAGGAACAACCAACCTAAGGCAAGGGAGGTTTCGACCCCCGTTAAATGAATTAAACGTTTTTTTTTTCTTTCTCTTTGTGCTCTTTGTGCTTTGTGCTGTGCCTCTTAGTGCTGTACAAGCTCAAACATTCATACAATTCAGCCCAGCTTTCCAACAAAGCATGTCTATGCCGCACCTCTGCTTCGACTTATTGCCCGTAAGCGTTCCATCTACTACTTTGTTCACTTGCTGGACAATTGCGACTAATTTGGCTCTCCCTTCCTTCGGGCAGAAAGCACCATTTGCGAAGAAGCGCCGGGCCCAGCCAAAAAGCGGTATCAACTTTCGACTGTCTTCTTGGCTTAGTGCAACAAGCCAGACGCAATCCCAATGCCAGTCCGACTCGAGTACCCTGACGACAACAGCACATTGAATATGGCACAGCTCCAAGGGAAATCACTGAGGATTCTCTAGATACGAGTCAACCACCGGTCCATTGAACTGTAATCCAAGATCCAAACGATGCGCACAGGGAAACGCTACTTGCAAATGACCACCTACACGCGCCTCCCGTGATCCATCCATATGGCAACGACATGCGTCCATTGCAAGCCATTGTCCGCTCGTCCCTTTTTGCCCCCAACGGCCGCAATCATCCTTTTACCCCTCCCCCCTCTTCCATCAACTAAAGACC